AATCCAGTCTGGCCAAAGAGAGGTTGTAAATTCTTGACTCCTGATCTGATTCAGCTTTTCTGGACCATCCTCGATTCAGCTTGCTTCCTTCTCACAAGGAGACCCTTCCTTCACTTCCCAGTAAGTCCCTGCTATTAGCTGTGTTTTTTTCCAGCTACTCGAGGGTTAAATCTCAAGGCTTGGAGGCTCCGGTGGCTGGGTCGCTGTCCCGGTGGCCATTTTGGCCGGTGACCATGTGGAGCCCTGAGAGGCGCCGGTGGAGACTAAAGGGCTCTGGTTTTCAGCCCGACAGCTCAGAAGCCTAAAAGGAGAGCGTGCCTCGCTGCAGCAGCATTAAAAGAGGGCGCAGAAGAGCGCATGGGCCATGCGAAGGCCGCAGAAGCCCCAGGAGTGGCAGAGGCGGCTGGGAAGCAGTGCGGTAGCAGCAGACTCCCTGAGAAGCCATAGCAACCCCAAAACGTGTCCTGGTGGTGTTTTAAAATTTGGAGTGTGTGACGAAAGGAGTGAGGACCTTTCCATTCTAGCTGCGGAGGTGGGGGTGAGGAGCGAATTGCAGTAAGCATGAGGAGTGGTCGTAAGTAGTTGCATGATGGCGGGTAGATCCCCTTCCCCCCCATGTCTCCTGGGGAGGGGACTTCCACCAGGCAGGTGGAGATGATCCTCAGGAAGACCTTCTAGTCACTTCCGCCTTGTTTTTCAACTGTACGGCCATCCTTTGGATGGAGCAGATTCAGGACATCAACAAGTTAGTGGTGGTTGCTCAGTTCTCAGCTGACGTTACCTTAAACACCATGAAGTTTGCTTCCAGGGCTATGCCATTGTCTGTCGTATCACACCGCCTCCTGTGGCTCCGTGGCTGGCAGGCAGACAACAAGGCGAAGTGGCAACTAGCAACAGCTGCCTACATGGGGGGTTCTCTCTTAGGGATTTCCCTTGACGCCATCCTGGTGGAGGATAAGAACAAGAAGAAGGCGCTTCCAACATCGACCAAGAAGGTGGAGCAGAGGTCCACGCCCTATTATCGCAGGTCAGCACAGCGACCACAGGAACAGGACACCCACTAGAGCAGGTACCTGGGGGGCAGGGCAGATAGGCCATCCAACAGGGGATTCAATAGGGACAGACCCTGAAAATGGCCCTTTTGAGGAGGGGGTGGTCACCCTTTCTGCGGGGCAAGTAGGTCGCCCAAGACCCCACCATTGGCTGCCGCTTAGCTCTGTTTGCATACACTTGGGCAGAGATATCCACGGATGCCTGGGTCCTCAGTACGGTGACCCATGTCTCCACCTGGAATTCCTTTCCCTTCTCCCCAATTGTTTCCGGGTGTTCCCCCCAGCCAAGAATGTTGACAAGTGCCAGCAGATGCGGCAGGCCATCCAGCACTTGCTCGACATTGCAGCCATAGAGAGAGTCCCTGAGGACCAGGCAGGTAACGGGTTTTATTCAAACCTGTTCCTAGTGCCAAAATCATTGGGGGGAAGGAGAGCCATTTTAGACCTAAAGCTCCTAAACCAATTCTTAGTGTATAGACGTTTTAAGTTGGCTTCCTTTAAGTCCATTCTGGCAGGGATCCAGGAGGGGGATTACATGGCATCCATTGATTTCACGGAGGCCTACCTGCACATCCCTATCCTCCCCGAGCATAGGCATTTTCTCCATTTCTCCTTCTTAGGGCTTCACTACCAGTACAGGGCTCCACCATTTGGGTTGGCTTTGGCCCCCAGGACCTTTACCAAGGTGTTAGCGGTAGCGACCACCCATCTGAGGGAGATTCCCATCAGGATTTTCTGCTACCTGGATGACATCCTTGTCCAGGAGGCGCCTCCTGCTCAGACTAGGTCAGACCTTCAGCAGGTCATTGACACCCTCCAGGGCTTAGGGTTCTTGATTAATCTTGAGAAGAGTACTCTCTCCCCATCCACNCATCTTCACCAAACATTCTTCCATTGTATGCATATCAAAGTCTTTCCATTTTTGTACGTATAATTTAGGTAGTCCTCTACTTACGACCACAATTGAGTCCCAAATTTCTGGTGTTAAGTAAGACATTTGTAAAGTGAGTTTTGCTCCATTTTACAACTTTCTTGCCTCAGTTGTTAAGTGAATCTGGCTTCCCCATTGACTTCGCTTGTCAGAAAGTTGCAAAAGTTGGTCACATGACCTTGGGACCCAGCAACAGTCATAAATATGAACCAACTGCTATAAGCTTCTGAATTTTGATCACATGATCATGGGAATGCTGGAAAGGTGGTAACTGGGAAAAACAGTCATGTCACTTTTTCATTAACTTTGAATGGTCACTAAAATGAACTGTTGTAAGTCAAGGACTACCTGTAGTCTCATAGCAATGATCATAGATGAAAAATAGACTTTCCTATTTGTCTGCCCATTAATTCACAACAAGAAAAGTTCTGGTTTCGATTGAATCTTAACTTTAAAATTTCTTGTATCAATGTATAGATTTGAACCTAATTTTTTCTGCCTTTTTACATGTCCACCAGGCATGAAAAAATGATCCTTTGTGTTGCCCGCATTTCCAACATAAATTTGAAATATTCTTATATATTGTGACTATCAAACTCAATTCATGACTGTTCAGAAAAGCTGAGGTATAAAAGAAATGTTATTTCTAGAGTGGCAATGAGTTTTCAATATATAATGAGATTTGCTCAGTAAAGTCATATGAAATAAATATTTTAACCTGTCTGACTTGCTGAAAGCAATTCACATTCTTATAAAAGGATATAAGATTGTGCCCTGCTGCTTAATTCCAGTTGCTAAAGATTTCAAAACGGCTTCTGGATTGTTAGTATTAAAAGGTAAAGGTTCCCCTCCCACATATGGCTAGTCATTCTCGATTCTAGGGGGCGGTGCTCATCTCTGTTTCAAAGCCGAAGGGCCAGCGCTGTCCAAAGACGTATCCGTGGTCATATGGTCACCATGGCTAAACGGTGAAGGTACACGGAACGCTATTACCTTTCCACCAAAGGTGGTTCCAATTTTTCTACTTGCATTTTTACATGCTTTCAAACTGCTGGGTTGGCAGAAGCTGAGACAAGTAACGGGAGCTCACTCCATTACATGGTGCTAGGGATTCAAACCGCCGAACTGCTGACCTTTCTAATCGACAAGCTCAGCGTCTTAGTCACTGTGCCACCGTGTCCTTGTTTGTTAGTATTAGAACTCGTTTAGTGGTAAAGTTAGACATTTGCCTAAGTCTCCAAATCAATGAAGGTTCTACTACTATAAGAGTACTATTTGCATTTTGCATAGAAAATACTATGTACTACCTAAAAGCATATTCTGTTTTGATAGCCAATGTTTTTCACTTTGGTTGGCCCGCAGAGATTGTTCCAAAAGCTTCAAAATAATGGGGCCCATATGTTAGCAAAATATTATTGAGGTAAACAAATTATATATATATTTTAAAGGTTGCAACATAATCCAGTTTGTGTGTGCATGAGTTTTTAATAAGCTGAATCTGATCCATTTATTGGAATTTGTAAGAGTTTGTAACTTTGAATATAGGGATTATTCTTTTCACTGGACACGTTGAATAGTTAAATATTATTTAGTAAAATTCATCAATGAATAAATTGACTAATCAAATAAATAAACGCATCATCTTTTTGATTTTGCTGCATGCTGATTCTACCAATTTAAGTTAGAAGAATTGAGTGGTAGAATATAATTCATTTAAAATTTCTATTTACTCAAGTGTGGAGTTTTGGAGCTATTTTTGCAGTAGTATTTGGCTTATGAAAATATGCTCAGATGGTGTTGGAGAATAGTTAGAATGCTTCATAGACTGGTCTATTAATACATATTCAAAAGTAAATATCATTTATCACTTGGGTCATGCATAAGAATAAATCATAATGTGATTTATACTTTGGCTTGGTGAAATACCTCCCCCCCCATCATGACAATGTTGTATTTAAGCCAAAACACCATGATTTCCTGAGAAAAAAAAGATTATTCCTAGATAAGAGGATATATAATTACAGCTGTTATCTCAAATTCCTTGAAAGGTAGATTTGAGAACAATATCTGCAAATATCTGTGGTGTACCTAAGCTAATGTAATTGAACTGATAGGCAATGAGAAATAGGTTGTCCTGATCAAACACCCTAATCTCGGGAACTGATTTAAGGATGGATACGTAAGACAACAGAGGGAAAAAGTTTCATGAAATGATTTGTGAAAGCGCCTCTCTATGAATACCATGCACATTATATGAATGGAATAGAGTCTGCCCCTTTACAAATGTATGGAGGCATTGTTCAAATGCTTCCACAAGTACTTTCATAGACATCAGAAACCTGTCAAATATCATTTCAAAACAGTGGAGCTTAAAATCCATGTCCCGTTTTCCAGCAGCAAGTTTACAAAGAGAAACTGGACTACTACATCAGTCTTTTTCAAGCTGGCACTTCTGCGTGTGTGCTCTTTAACTCAGAACTTTCCAGCTACCATGACCTTTGCTGAGAATTCTGGGAAAGGAAGTTTACCTATCTCAGGTTGGGGAAAGATGAGTGGTAGGACTCAAAAAACTTTTATTACCGGTTCTCTGAACATGGCTTGATGGGTGTGGCATGGCTTGATGAGCATGGCAGGGGAAGGATACCAAGGGTGGGTTGCCAATTTTTTTACTACCGGTTTAGGCGCGCTCGCACATGTACGACAAACGTCCAGGCGGGTGGGCAGAGTCTCCCACTGCTGCTACGACCGGTTTGCCCGATACAGGCTGAACCAGCAGCAACTCATCTCTGAAGGATACTGTAAAATCTCCATTCCCTCCCAACCCCAGGAGAAGGTTAGTGCAAAATCCCCATTTCCTCCCGATCAGCTGGGACTCGGGAGGCAGAGAATAGATGTGGGCGGGGCAAGTCAGAGGTGGCATTTACCGGTTCTCTGAACTACTCAAAAGTTCCGCTACTAGTTCTCCAGAACTGGTCAGAACCTGCTAAATACCACCTCTGGTTAAGACATCACAATAAGTGAGAAGCAAGCAGAATAAAATTAGATAGGAATGAAGTCCATTCAAAGAGAAAGTCAGCAAAAGACTTCGATAGGAGAAGACAGGTTAATTTTTTTAAAAAAATCAGGAATAAGACAAATAACTCCTCTGCCTTTGAATATGATGTCTGCTTATGTATGTAGATGGATAATAGTGAAATATATCTATTGTAGACCAGCTTTTAAAGTCAAGTACAAGCTGGAGGAACTTGCAAATACATCTGAAAGGCATATTTGAATAACAATAATCTGCCCATATACTGCATTACAATTATGAAGAGGTGGACAGATTTGACCTAAATAACTACTGGGCACATACACCTAAAAATAATTCTGCACAGAACAAAAATGCTTTAAGGTTTAAATAAAATTCAGATCCCTTTCCTAACCTCAGATTACCTCGTGATTTATTTATGTACTTTTTTTTTGCATGACTGATATCTATTTTGTAATCTTTTCTGTCACATCCCTTTGCTGAATTAGGTGCCTTCGTCAAAAGCAAAGATACCACAGTGTGTAGTTATTTTAGTACTTTTGCTCTCTCTATTGTCAAGGCAACGCTTTCGATGACCTTCCCACATTTCATGATAAAGTTGGTCTATCAGATATATATTAGAGTATCTGATTGCACAGTTGCACGAATGCTAACAAGTGAAAATATTTATACAACTTCATGGCTTGATGATTCTCAGTAGAACATACCTCCCCCTTGAATGCTTTATTTCTCTTTCCACCTCCATATCCATTTCTTTGAAATATGTTTGTTTAGAGGGACCAAGAACTTGTTGCTTCATTTGCCAACATTTCAGGGTTCAGAAAAGCATTTTCTTCCTGAGACATACCCTGGGATCCAGGGGAGAAAAGAATCAGTGTGACTGAGAAAATTACTACTCCCATTTCTTCAGCTGAATCCTCTTTCAAATATATTAAGCCTCCAGAAAATCAGAATCTGATTTTGGATTGTCAGCTCTCGGGTAGCCTCCTGAACTGTTACTTTAGCAAGCAGTAAGTCTTTCCTCTGTGGATATTTGGATTCTTTGGAGAGGCATTGAAACAGAGTGGTACAGCGTTGAAATTACATGCGAGAAATTGGTCTCACCTTTGATAGTAACTTGATTCTCACCTTTCTTAAGACAGTTCTCTGCAGATACTACTAAAATGACTTCATAAATTGTGCATACGTGTGAATTCTGTGAAATACCATAAATTTAATTTCATATTTTATCCTTTTACTTAAAAAGCACATACAAGTTTTCTAGACAGTTCATTTGTGATATTTCAACCTCACTTTTAAATGTATTAAATCATATCCTGATCATATCATGTATTGTTTTAAAATCACATATAAGTAGAAAATCAGTTGTCAGTTAAAGTCTTCCATATTTTACATGCAGTCTATCAACATGACTTGGCTTACTGCACATAATGCTGTCTCAGTACACCCAGTGTGGGCTGGGTCATACATGATGCTGAATCATGTAGTTGTTGGGTTTTGACTTGTTACATTTAGTGTAGCCTAAGCGGGGTGGGGGTTGGACTAGAAGACCTCCAAGGTCCCTTCCAACTCTGTTATTCTGGTCTGCTCTGCTCTCCTCTATTCTACCCTACCCTACTCTACTCGAATCTAACTATTCTAGTTTATATACTCTAGTGTGGCCTAAAATGTTGTGTGAACCTAGGCAATTATGATTTATAGTTAAATAAAGAATGACTTCACAGAATGTGAGTTTCATTGATAATTCATTGCAGCTGCATAAATCTAAATATAACGGACATTTATGTATCATGATAGGGTAGAGCTATCTAACCTGGGTTGCAAAAACATAAACAACTGTTAGATGGGAGCAAGGGGATATGGGGCAACTGATATTTGTACCACAGCCATGGTAATGTTAGCACACTGCAATTCTTGCATATATGCAAGTTGAATTTGGGTGAAATGCGTGAGGAGAAACTGTACATCCTGCACTTAGTAAACAATGGTTTTTATCCTGATAGGGCCAATGCTCTTCTTTTATGAATTGATTAAAACAAAGCAGAATAGTAAGCAATTAGTGTTGCTTAATATTGGACTATAATGTGTCATAGATTCCTCAGCACCATGTAATAGCGGCATCCCAAAATGAGAAGAATAGATGAGTATGGATATGGAGTGGAGTGGAGAGGGAGGGGAGGGGAGGAGAGGAGAGGTTGGTTCTATAAAGCTTCCACTTCTCCTAAAACTCTGAATCTTGGTTAGATCAAAAAGAATTGCTATAAATCAGACAATTGAAATCCTAACCTTGTCTACTGTAGGATTTCAATAGCATTTAGTCTGGTGAAAAACATCCCTTTATAGTCATAGTCTATCCAAAGCCTTTTTAAATGGAGATACCGAGGGTTGAACCTTGGATCCTTTGCATACAAAGCAAGTGTTTTGCCACTGAGCTATGGCTCTAAACAGTTATTAAATGTATGATAATGCCATTGAAAATCACATACAGCACAATTCTTATTGTGGATGGTTTTTTCCCCTATAGCCTGCTACTGTCACCTACTAATGAAACTAATATTTTAATTGGGAGTATGAAAACACACACACACGGACACACACAGAGCTAGTCTTGTGATTGTAACAAAAGGAAATACAAAACTCCATATAATCAAGAGTGCAGCCTCCTCAGCTGCTGCTAATTTGGGGAAAATTAAATTACAATTCATTTTAATTAGATTTAAATTAAGCCGGATAGCTTTAAGCATGGATAAAGCAGAAGTGGGAAGATGATAAAATCAGATAGACAGACAGATGGATAGATAAGATAAAAAGCTTGGCTATAAGAAATAAATGTTTCTTAATTGTGTGAGCTTTTTTTTTTTTTACAATGATCATTTTTCTCTTGATGCCTCTTATATATGTTCTCTCAGCACCTCCAGCAAAATCCATATCCTCAGTCCAACAAAGTTTACACATCGGAATTGCTCCCAGAGTAACACTGGGCCAGTTATTTTCTGTCAGCTCCACTTGCCATACAGGGATGTTATTGTGAAAAAAAAGAGAGCTTTGTGTTGGCTGTCTTGAGCCTCTAGAGCAGGGGTGTCAAACTCAATTTCATTGAGGGCCGCATCAGGCTGTGGTTGACCTTGGGGGGCCGGGAGGGCTTGGCTGACTGGATGGGCGTGGCCGACTGGGTGGGCGTGGCCAGCTTGACACCACTTCCCAACTGCCGGCATGTTTTCTGTTTGCACTGGGCAGGCTGGGCTAAAGCGACGCAGGCCGGTCCCTTACATTTTCCAGGATGGCCCTGCGGGCTGGATCCAACCACATAGCGGGCCGAATCCGGCCTGCGGGCCTTGTGTTTGACACGTCTGTTATAGAAGAATGTGGGAATATAAAATTAATAAATTCAGGTAGTCCACAAGTTACAACAGTTCATTTAGTGACCATTCGAAGTTACAACACACTGAAAAAAGTGACTTATGACCATTTTTCATACTTACGACCGTTGCAGCATCCCCATGTTCACGTGATAAAAAATTCAAGCACTTGGCAACTGACTCATATTTATGATGGTTCCACTGTCTGAGGCTCATGTGATCTCACCTTTTGTGACTTTCTGACAAGCAGAGCCAATGGGGAAGCCCACTTAACAACCATGTTACTAACTGCAGTGATTGACTTAACAGTGGCAAGAAAGGTCATAAAACGGGGCAAACCCCATTTAACCGTCTCGCTTAGCAGAAATCTTGGGCGTAGTTGTGGTCATAAGTCAAGGACTATGTGTACTATTACTTTGCTTGTTTTTTTTTTCCTTTTGGTAGTAGATCGGCATAAAGCAAGTAGTATAATCATGGTAATGTTGGTAACAAATAGTATTACATGTTAAGGCTATGTTCCATGTCTTTTTTTTCTTTTTAATAGGTAATTAAAGTATATAGTGAGGATGAAACCAGCAGAGCTTTTGAAATACCAAGTGATATAACATCCCGAGATTTGTGCCAGTTGCTAATACTAAAGAATCATTACGTTGATGATCATAGCTGGACCCTCTTTGAACGCCTCACTTATTTAGGCCTTGGTAAGTATTACTGGCTTTTAAAAGCGGCAATATTTGTTGGGTATCGCTAATGGAGTGGAAAATTGAGGAGGCAGAGAGTAAGTCTACAATGTTAGAGGCATTTGTATACGTTAGAAACAATGTGGTAGGATTTACTTGCACAAACATATGCTCACACCAAGGACCTTAATCCTCAGATGCCCAGATTGTAGAAAAATGAGCTAAATCCTTCCCTGGCAGCAAATCCATAGCAAATCAGGACAACTTGCGGTAAATCCCACCCTGTTGTAATGTCACTGCACAAACCCCACCTTTTACACCTCTATATCATGATGCCACTGCAGGACAGAGCTTCCATAGTGATATCACTGCACATGCTCAGATGCTGCATATCTTGTTTCTTGTCTGCTAAAAGCCCCCCCTCACCCCCATAACAAAACAACCCCCCTCCCCAAACCAAGGCCTTTTCACACAGCTGGGTTTTTTTTTCTGCTGGTAATTGTTGCCAGTTGCTGGCTAAGAAAAGACTTAGCTGTAGTCTTTAGATGCTTGTTTTCCCTAGCAAGGAATAATCAAAACACCATATATTTATGTACCGTATTTTTCGGCTATAAGACGCACCGGACTATAAGACACACCTAAATTTACAGGGAGGAAACAAGAAAAAAATAGTCTTTGGCTTCCCTGCATTACATTTTTGCCCTCCCTACACCCCAGAAGCACTCTGCAGTGCTCCGCATGTCCCATTTTTGCCAAAAACAGGCCCGTTTTGGGGCTCCCAAGTCTTCAGTGCATTGCGTTTTCACCCTCCCCAGCCTCAGAAGCACTCTGTCGTGCTCTGCATGGCCCGTTTTTGCAAAAAACGCACCCATTTTTGGCCTGCAGAGTGGGGAGGGCAAAATCGTGACAAGCAGAGGTTTTGGGAGGCCAAAAACAGTTGTATTCGGTCTATAAGACACTTTTAGGGGGGAAAGGTATGTCTTATACTCTGAAAAATACGGTATATATTTAGGATTTTGCTTGGATTTTTTGGAAAAACAATTCTGGGAATCAAGTTTTCTCAGTTGACTTCATTAGTTATATTGAATTGGGGTGGACACCCACCCCAAAAGCCAAATAGTTTTCCATATTACCAAGGCTATCTGAATCCAGCTCCTCTTTAAACCTTATCCTTCTGTTTAAGCATACCTTGCTTTTTCTCTTTACTTATTAAATTTATATTCTGTGCATATCATTAGCAAGGCACTAAGGGCAGCTTATAAGAGAATAAAAATGTGAATATAGAGACATTAAAGCATTAAAAACATTGCAAACACTAAAATAAACAGGGATTGGCTAAAATTCAGAACCAGTACACGAACAAAATGAAGGTGGCTCTTTCTTAATTCGCTAGCCACCTATTGGCTTCAAGCCAATCAACAAGAAGTTTTAAGACCCTTTTGGAAGGCCAAGAGAATGGGGGTGAATCTCACCTCCAGCAACATGATGTTTCAAAGGGTGGGGGGCATAGCAGAAAAGTCATCTTTACTCATGGTTACTATCCCTAAATATTAGTTAATTTAATAATCAGAAACCTGCAGCATTCTTTGGCTTGATCCAAATTAGTAATAGCAATATTTCCTTCTGTGATGGAAACACACCAAACTTTACTGTAAACTTGATTGAATATAGCTTTAAAAATGGGAGGCAAAAGTCCTCCTCCTTCAATTATCTGGAGAAAATTGGACAATTTGACTCCTGCTTTTGGCATGAAGTATCCACACATACTTTGCATCTTTGCCCCTGCCCTTAGCCTCACGTATTGTTTGTTCCCCAGCCATCCAACATTTTCCCATTTCTGGCTTGCAAGATAGAGGAAAGATGAGATTCACTATGGGTAGGAAGCTGGAATGAGATTTTAATTTGAGCAGGAGAATAATTAATCCCACAATGCTTACCTTCAAAATCTTTCATCATAGTTATCCTCCTGGGAAATAGGTTGAATTTCTGGAAAAAAAAACAGAATTAAGTTTACCTAGCAAGATATTCCAAATTCACTCTTAGGTGCTTATTAATTCATTTTCTTTATTTACATTCTGTCTCTTTTCACATTAGCTGTGTTCTGTTTTGCTGACTAATCTATTCAGTTATTTAGAAATGTGTTCTCATGAAGAACCAATAATGGAAGAGAAAAAAATCTGCAGAACATGGCGGAAGCAAGAGAAGGTGCTGATAGCTTGGATTTGTTGAGAAGCCAAGCTCCAGAGATTGAGTGCACACTTTTACCAATGTAGAGTTTGCTTTGGAATGAGTTAGCCTGAAATTACATCATTCTTGTTGCTAAAATGTCCTAACAGTTTGTGGGAAACTAGTATTGTAGAATGCCCTATTGGCCCCAGTAAGGTTAAATTCACCCACCTGTGTGTTTTCAATAGACATAGCTCATTCTTAATCCCAATGTGTGGAATATATTAAGGTTTCCATCTCTGATAATTGTATCTACTGTTGATCAAGGCTTGCTCCTAGTTGTAGCATGATGCATTTGTATTGTGCCCAGTAGAATGTGTGTGGATAGGTGTGCGTGTACTACACATATGTGACTTTTACAGTTTTGTAGTTCTATTACTAAACTAGCCAGGAAGGGTACCTGGCACCCTGAGAGAGGAAGTCTTTTGTTTTTTAATTTACAGAACTTTAATACTTGTGTTTATAAACTGAAGTGGTACATATGATTATCAAGATTAAAGAAAATAAGACATTTAAAATGCAGCAGCCAAATAATGTAAGATATGGTGCTTTCCTTCTCCTTTTTCTCCCACACTTAATGACAAACAACAATTTACTATGCATGTCTGAGTTCCAAAATAATTTAACCAAACAAGCCAAGCTCAGCCAATTCAGTTTTCCTCAAGTCCAGTTGCATTAAAGACTCAAGAGATACAGATCACAGAACATTCTTGTTCTCCATGGGTATCTTCTCCAGCATAAGTATACTTTTGAAATTCAGTTCAGTTTGGTTTAATGACAGAACTAAACCGCATGAAGGAAAAGAAAACTTAATGCTGTTTTTGCCCTTATTAATGCACAGGCTTTTAAATGCCACTTATTTCTCCTTGTTTGGAAAAGGAGAGAATACAGTTGGGGTGCTGCATAAATCAGCTGAAACACGTTTTTCAGCCTTGCTTCTAATGAAGAAGCTGGGAGAGGAAGTCTTGAAGTGAACCTGACTGAACGCAGGCACATGGCCATGTTCAGGGGCCTGTACCCGAATAGCAATAAAGAAAGCAAAACATGTTTATTTCTCCTCCTTACTGCATTGGAGGGCTGCTATCTAGGGACCCCGTATGGTAGTGAATTCCCATCTGGGCAGTGGTGGGATTAAAAATTTGTTACTACCGGTTGTCTGGGTGTGGTGTGGCTTGGTGGGCGTGGCTTGGTGGGCGTGGCAGGGGAAGGATACTGCAAAATCTCCATTCCCTCCCCACTCCAGGGGAAGGATATTGTAAAATCTCAATTCCCTCCCCATTCCAGGGCAAGGATACTGTAAAATCTCCATTTCCAGCCCACTCCAGGGCAAGGATACTGCAAAATCTCCATTTCCACCCCACTCCAGGGCATGGATACTGTAAACTCTCCATTCCCTCCCATCCCACAAACCTGCTTGCCAGCTCTGTTCTCCTATGCAGGGCAACAGAAGAAGACCCAGCCAATCATCTGAGAGACCGATCAGCTGGGACTCGGGAGGCAGTGAATATTATAGAGGTGGAGCCAGCCAGAGGTGGTATTTGCTGGTTCTCTGAACTACTCAAAATGTCCGCTACTGATTCGTCAAAACTGGTCAGAACTTGTGTTCAGAGCAGAATACCACCTCTGCATCTGGGGTAGAAAAAGTGTTTATGTTCAGTTTGTGAAGCGTTGTACTGATAGTCAGTCAGATTCACTATAGCCTTGACTCCATGTGGACAGACTCTGGTGGTGACCGAGGCCTTACCCTGTTATTTGAGACCCCTTTGGTTTTTGACTTCCAAAGAATTGGATAAGATGCCTCCTCAGTTACCCTGTGCCATGGGTCTCCCAGCTTGTACAGGGAGGGGAATGGTTACTACTTGGACCCTGGGAATTCTCATTTCCGCCTTCTGAAGAAGCCATCCCCAGACCTAGTGGTGTTAGACAACTATATTTTGGGAAAAGGTTGTTGCGGAAGTGGATTATCTGAAGTCTGCGGTGGTGCAATGCAGTGGCGCAATAGTTAACTGCAAGCTATTTCTGCTGACTGCCAGCTGCCTGCAAATTTTGGCAGTTCAAATCTTACCAGGCTCAAAGTTGACTCAGCCTTCCATCCTTCTGAGATGGATAAAATGAGGACCCAGATTGTTGGGAGCAATATGATGACTCTGTAAAACCACTTAGAGAGGGATGTAAAGCACTGTGAAGCGGTATATAAGTGTTATTGCTGTTCAGTCAGGATTCAGGCCAGTTTTGGGGTGGTATTGGTATCCTTTTGGACTGCCTGCAGGGGTTGGGGGCTGAAGCCATCTTTCAGTAGTTTCATTCCTGCCTTGTGTCTCTGGTCTCAGAGATATGCCTCTGCCTTTCCGGAGTCTGGATGGGAGAGAACAGATTGAAGTTGAACCCTAGCAAGTTGGACTTCTTGATACATCAAGAACCCCTGTTACTACCAGTTACTCCTTCTTGAGCAAGCTCTACCTACTTGGCCAACAGGTTCATGACTTGGTACTGCTGGACTCACAACTTCTTCTGCATCAACTTCAGTTGGTGTACCACTGTAGCCTTAATTAGGATGGGAGGACTCAACAGCAGCAATTCATTCTCTTATTTCCACCACCTGGACTACTATAATGTACCTTATTTGGAGTTTTCCTTTAAAAAGTTTGGAAACCACCATTGGTTCAAACATGCAAGAGCTTCCCTACTTTCAGATTCCAGATATTGGGAACACAGCATCAGTTTTTACAAATGCTGCATTGGTTCCCAATTAATTTTGGGTTCAATTTAAGGTGCAGGTTTCAGCCTATAAATGC